TGGTGTGTAGCATGTAATAAATCAAGAATCGTTCACCAAATTTGAGAATTTATAGGCCAGGCATGGTGGTGACTGTCTGCAATCCCAGCACTTGGGAGGCAGGGACAGAAGGAGGAGGAGTTCAATGTCACACTTAGCTACAAAGCACATTTGTTTTTAAACATTTATTTATTTGATCAATATGAATACACATCAGAAAAGGGCATCAGATCCAATAAAAGATGGTTGTGAGCCGCCATGTGGTTGCTGGGAATTGAACTCAGGACCTCTGGAAGAGAACTCAGTGCTCTTAACTGCTGAGCCATCTCTCCAGTCTTATTTTTTTTCTTAAAAAAAACTTTTAGTATTTCAGGAAATACTTTGCTTTAGTGAGTATTGAGGAGACACGTACCAGCTGGAGTTAATTATTATTAAATATATTCTAAGAAAATAATCAGTACTTTTCCAGATGACAAGTGAAATTATATTCTTTACTTGGGGTAAGAGTTTGACAATTTTAAACGACCATTTCCTGTCTGGCATACGTGAAAGAGGAGGGCCTTGGTCCCTTGAAGGCTGGATGTCCCAGTGTGGGGGAATTTGAGGTTGGGGAGGTGGGAGTGGGTGGATAGGTGGGGGCATACCCTCATAGAAGCAGCAGGAGGTGGGACAGAATGAGGATTTCTGAGGGGGGAATGGGGAAAAAGGATAACATGTGAAATGTAAATAAATAAAATATCCAATAAAAAAATTTGGATGCCAAGGAACTTTCTGCTGAGTGTCTATGGCACTCTACAACTAGACATACCTATGCCTAGGTGAAAAGGAAGGATCCACTTATTGGTATATGGCATGATCCTGATCAGGTATTAAATATGAGGAAGAGGGCATGTTTGTGTTTTCTCTGCAGGATGCTGAAGGAGTATGGTGGCCACCAGAGCGATGGATGAGACATGCTGATGCCAGGAAAAAGAATGATGCTGACCTGTGAACTTGATGAGTGCCCTGACAATGGTGACTGGGAACCTGTATTGGACATATGTTCCTGACCCACCTTTGCTTGCCTATATCCCAGATAGGACAAGCTGCCTTGCTTCAAGTTTTAGAACTTGCAGAACACAGAATCAAAAAAAGAAGTTATAATGACTCTTGTATTTTTCTTAAATTACCAGTTATTCTGAATCAATCATGTACTGGTCTAGAAATCAATCCAATATTGGGAATAACAGTGTTCATTTGGAAGACTGGTTCTGGACATTTTCAGAGACATATTTGGAAGTTAGCTGCAGTTCTGTATGATGTTATGTTAGCAAAAGATAAAGCTGGGACAGAATCTGGATTTCAAACAAGTGTTAGTACATGTACAGTATTTGTTGTAAGTTGCATTGATTGTACACTTCCTATTTGTGTTAGTGTGTTGAAACCTGGCATGTCTGTTATGGGGGTCTATTAACCAGCTTTTGTCTTATTGTCCTTAGTATTACAGAACCTTGGTTTTCTGAAAAATACTATCAAGTACTAGAAGAAGTAAATTAGGCTTTAAGCAGAAGCAAGAGGGTAGTGGGCTTGACTATTGTTGGTATAACAGTTTTAAGTACATTAATTGCCAACACCACTGCTTCTGCAATTGCCTTGACACAAGAAGTTAAGACAGCTACTTTTGTTAATCACTTAGCAAAAAAAATGTTACTAATGTGTTGAGTATACAAGAGGATTTAGATAGGCATTTAGAACAACAGATTGATGCTCTTTATCCTATTCAAATTATTGGAAGGAGGTTCAGAGTTTAAGAGTTAGGAGCCATCTTGACTGTCATGCCAAATACCAATGGAGTTATATTACTTCTAAAATGTACAGTGGTAGTCATTATAATTAGGAAAAAGTTTAAAGACACTTGCAGGGTATTTGGCATAATTCTAACACCTCTCTGGATGTTTTAACTTTGCATTGTAAGCTTAAAAATTTAAAGAATGCTGCTCTGGTGAGTGTTGATGCTGCAGATAATGCTGATAAAATTACCAATGGCTTGAGGTCAGTATTTCTATTTTGGTCAAGCTTCAAGAATGGCATATATAGCTTGATCATACTAGCCCTTTTTGTCCTGGGAATACTTTTATTCCTGTCCATCATGTTAAAGCTTGTCTTTAACAACATCAACATGTTGGCAGCCAAAGTACATTGCTTGAACCTGAAAATGGACCCCCAGACAGAGTTATTAAATTAACAGGCTGGCAAGCCAAGGATGCCTAAGATTCTGCTCAGAGCCTTACCACCCTAAGACATAAATGCACTGCGTTTGATAATGCATATTCCATGATGGGTAAGGAAGGCATTCTTGGCAGAAGGACTTAAGACGGGCTCTGTCTTGTTTATGAAATAAAAAAAGGGGGAGATGTGGAAAGCTTTTAAGGCTGCTTGGCAGGAATCTGACATTGGCCAAGGACAAAGAAATGGGCTGCTTGGCAGGAATCTGACATTAGGTTAGAACAAAGAAGTAACTTCAGGCAGAAATCTAAATCTTAGGCTACAACAAAGAAGTAATTACAGGCAGGAATCTAAAGCTTAGGGTAGAATAAAGAAGTAGGCTTCAGGCATGAAAATGACTTTGGGATAGGACAGGGAAGTAGACTCAGATATTTTGGTCATCCTGATAAGCTCTTGGAAACAGTGATCACAGGAGTGTGCACATATTGGGTTTGATGCCTTGCTTGTTCTTTGACTATTTGTTTTTATTGTCTTGCCTTTTCCTTGACTATTTGCATCTATTGTATTGCTAGTTCCTCAACTTAGAACTGACCTTAATACTTCCATGTAATTAAAATGGTATAAAAGCAAAAAGGAGGAGGGAGGATGGGATAGGGGGTTTCTGGGGGGGAAGGATGGGTAAAGGGGATGGCATTTGAAATGTAAATGAATAAAATATTGAATTTTTAAGAAGTCCTCAATTCTCATTACCTAAATTCCTCCCCCCACCTCTCTCTCTCTCTCTCTCTCTCTCTCTCTCTCTCTCTCTCTCTCTC